GGCATAGGCAGGGCAGACAGGGTGACCTTCCTTCTGGCTGCAGCTGGTCTCCTTCCCACAGGGTGGGCCAAGGGCTGTGGGTGGACTTGGGTCTCCCTGCCAGGGCTTCCTGGTTATAGGTGCCCAGGTGCCTGAGTGCCCACCTGGGAACAAGTGTGTGTGGGCTGCTTCACAGCTGTATGGACCAACTGACCTGGTACTAGTGTGAGGTAGCATAGGAGGGCATTCCCCCAGGCCAGGACCCCAGGGCCCAAGGGACTGCCACCTCCTCCAGGTGGCCGCCCAAGCCAGGCCACAGGGGAGGACGTGGCCCTGGGGGTGGTCTGGACCTGACCTGACCGCCCAAGGCTCCGGTCGCCTTCTCTATCACCTCGTTGTCCTCCCCCAGCAGGAGCCTGCAGACTCTGAAGCATCAGGTGTGGAGAAGTGGGGCTCAGGTCAGGAAGGCTCAGGGTTGAACACTGCTACCAGCCAACCCCTTGGGGATCCCCTCCCTCGTTGGCCTCCTGTGCCCCTACGGAGTCAGGCTTACAGCTCCAGGTTTGGGAGCAAGCACGCTGCTATGGACCCCCTGACCCCCAGACTGTGAGCAGGACCCTGTGCACACCAGCCCACCCTCCTTCCCGACCCAGTGGCCCTGAGGGACTGGGCATCCAGGGTGGGCCAACCCTGGCAGTGGTGTGGGAGCTGCCCCAGGCTACCTGTTGCTCTTCAGGTCCAACCTGTCCTGGCAGGCTCCTGTGGATGTGCAAGGGGGGCAGAGGTCATGTGTGACGCAGGGGGCCTGCCACCCCATTGCAGGCCCTGGCTCCTTCCCCCAAGGGTGGCACAGCCCCAAACCACACTGGCCGTGCAGCCAAGCTCTGTCGGGTGTTCAAGGCTGTGACCTTTCCCAGGCAAGGGCCAGGCCTCTGGAGAAGTGCTGCTGGAGTCCACCCAGCAGCCTCCTGGTGGCAGTCAGTCCAGCAGCACTCGATGCCAGGCCCCGGGGCTGTGGTGGGGCTGCCTGCACAGGCAGTGTGCACAGGCCAGGAGGGCCCTGAGCCAGGCTGAGCCTGGGTGAGGACCCCCATGTGAAGGCCCTGGTCGTCCCCCCAGAACCATGAGCAAATGGGAGGCCACCCCAGCTGCTCAGGTCTGGGGACCCTGTGTGACCAAGTGAGGGGGATAGATGGGAGGGGCTCAGAAGCAGGGCTCCCCTAGCCCCACTAGATGAGACCCAGGGTTCTAGGTCCTCTGACCCCACCCAAGCCCTGGCCACAATGGTTGAGGCATCCTGAGAGGGGGTGTCCAGTGTCCCCCCCACAAACGGAAGGATGGGGCCAGGCCGAGCAGACCCAGGCCGGGGTCCAGGAAGGAATGGGGAAAGGATGGGGGGCAGCAGGGTGAAGACATGGGAACTCGGAGCTTCCTGTGGTGTGGGGAGGGGTCTCAGGGTGCGGGTCCCTCTCCTGTGGTGTGGGGACCACAGTGGCAGGTGGACTGGGCTGGGGCCACAGGGCCACCCATTCTGTGCCAGTGGAGATGGCCAGCCTGGGCCCTGGGTCTGTCCAGCCACCCCTTGATTGGTCTCTCCGCCCTCCCTTCATCCCCTTTGCTGGCCAAGAGTCCTGCTGTGGCCAGGCCACTGTGGCCCATGGTGGGGGTCTAGGTCACAGGGGCTGGGTCAGCAGGGGCCATGAGGAGGCGTCTGCAGCCTCAGGATCAGAGGGGCGTCTGCAGCCTCAGGGTCAGAGGTCAATGCTCACCAGGCTACCACCCCCACTGGCCCAGGGCCTCGCCCTGCTGGCTCCCTGCCGTCCCTGGGATAGTTTGCAAAATCCTGGTGGCCCTGCTGGCTCCTTTCCTCAGCAGGTCAGAGGGGACACGGAAGGGCCTGCCACAGCCCAAGTGCCAAGCCCGTGCAGGCCCTGGCATTGGCTTGGGCTGCAGCATTGTCAGGGCATTTGGAGCCCAGCAGGCTGGGGCATAGCGAACAGAGCAGTGGCCACCTGGGGTGGTTGCAAGGCAGGCCTTGAAGGCTCTGAGGGGTGGAGGTTGGAGGGTCTGGGGGTACTGCTGTGAGTGTGGGCCTACTGATCCTGATAGCTCAGGGCAGCCTCGAGCAGTCTCAGGGGGCGGGGGAAGGGTAGGCGTGGGACAGCAGGCAGGTGGGCTGGGTCAGGGGGCCAGCGGGGGCTTTGGTCACTGAGCGGGGATGGGGATGCACAAGTCTCTGAGGAGGAGAGAAGAGGGCTCAGTGTGGCCCTGGGCAGGGTCCCAGGCCCCAGGAACCGGCCGGGGCTCAGGGCCATGCTAGGGCATGCGCTCCACCTCACACTGGGTCTGTGATCTCCCTGCCCTAGCTCACCAGGGGTGGGGGGAGTGCTTCAGGGGTAGGACTCTGTGGGTGGGGCTGGGGGTTTGAGAGCTGCAATCGAGTGACCATGTGCTGGCCTGTGTGGATGGTGTTTGGGAGATGTGCACCTGTGGCGGGGAGGCAGGCGTGTGTACACGAGTATGCAAGAGTGTTCGTGTGTTACGGTCTGAGAGTGGATGTGTGACCGGGCCTGTGTGCACACACCCATGTGAATGTGGGAGACAGTGTGTGTGCCTCTAGGAGCCAGCCTGGCTGCTGTCACCATGACAACGCTGGCCCTTCCCACCAGCAGGACAGGGTGACCTGGTGGGCCTGAGGCTTCAGGGCCCACAGACTGTGTCCCAGGGCCTCTGGCCAGTTCGAGGGGGGAGGTGGCAGGCAGAGCAGACCCTAGGGGGAGGACCCAGCCCCCTGCCCATCAGGGCTTCCTGAGGAAGGCACCACAGCACACCAACAGGCCGTGACTGGGAAGACAAGGCCTGGTG